AGCCATTACATTGTGAATAGAACACCAAAAAAGGAGAACATATATCCCAAGTCATGAAAGAAGTCACTCATATCATTGACAATGGAGTGAAGGTTTAATGTCTTCATTGTTTCACTGTCCTCTCACTCATAACAGAAATGAAAATCTCGCCAACTGTTCATAACAGACCTACACTTGTTCATTTGATGACCCGAGACACTTCTTTGCTGAATCAGAAACTCATCAGAGATTTTTCATAGTCTAATTTTGTCATTACAGTTAACACTGCACCCACAGACCAGCTAATACAAGAAGTTGTCAAAGTTGAGCAAAGGCTGTGCGAATCGATGGGCCACATGGAATGTAAAGAGTATTGCATACTTTATTAATACTTGAATAATTCATGTGGACTGGCCCCATAGCTCTGCAATGAAGGGAGCTGGATCTTGCATGGCTGACTGCAGTTTGAATCCTGGCCCTGGTGGCTTGGGAAACATGCCAGGTGCACGTGTGTGCGCACACTCAAAACTCTGATGAAAAAGTAGAGGAGAAGGGATTATGGCATGACCATGCCCCACTGGGGGTTGCTTTCCTTCTCACTCTCTCTCTCACTATCTCTCTGTCTCTCTCTGGCTTGTACAGACCCTCTGGCAATTGAGTAAATAAATAGTAAATGTGTGTTTGCTACGTGTCCTTTGTCACAGTGAAATTTAACCCACTTACACGTGCATAGGTATGCGTACATGTTTTCCTGGTGGGCGGGTTGCCGAACATTTCTCGGCCCAGCCCGGGTGGAGACAGACATGGAAGAGTATCAGTGAGGTGAGAGCAAGCATCGTGGCATATTCAGAGTTCTGGGAAAGGTTTCTCGCTCACTGAAAGGGCCTACAGGGGTGATTTCTGACCCAGGTTTGCTAGAGAGAGAAGTAGAGGGCCAGGCCCCGCTGTCCCCTCCGTCAGGAGGGTGTGGTAAGACAGACTCAGCCACATCATACTCTCCCTGCCTGGGCACTGGCTGCCCGGCCGGAGAGGAAGTGGCATCTGGAGGGCGACGTCTATCACGGAGCCCCATGGCCGCTCCCTGTCTGAGTCCTGGTTTGGGCACCTCCACAGCCTTGGGGATGGGGGCCACGAACCCTGAAGCCGCAAGTCCTTAGCAGGTGGCAGGACCCTGTGCAAAGCAGGAGGGCCACAAACCCAAGGAGATTTCAGGAGCGACATGGGCTGGCCGGAGGGAGCAGCCACTCTGGGCCGGGCTCCAGGCCATTCGTCTCACCTGTGTCATCTCATTTCATCTTCCCGACAACCCCACTCATCACCCTCATCGGGCTTGCAGAGAGGAGGTGACGTGCCCCGGGGAGCTCACACTACAGGTCAGTGCTGGAGCCAGTGTGTGGGTACACGTACCAGGGCCTGGTGCTCGCCAGCGTGCTGGGGCGGCAGATCTCCCCGGTGTCTCAGTGAAGATGCAATGTGAGCATGATAGAAGGGACTGGAGGAAAGAAGGCCTCATCTGTGTCCATTCGGTGATGACAATGACAACGATGGTGATGCAGCACTCATGAGCGAAACCGAATTCTTCTCTCTCGTTTGAGTTCAGATTTCTTTGGGAGATGAATCATTTCCTCCAACTGATGGGAAACGACGTTTCATTCATTTCACCCATTTGTGCTGGGTTCCTACTTCATGCTAGGTGTGGGAGACACAGGAAGGAGCAAGACAGCCAAGAGGGAAGGAATGGCAGAGACCTCGCGATGGCACCGACCCCAGGCTGCGTCAGGGAGCGGGGCTCCTGGTCCAGAGAAAGTGCTCATTAAATGCCTATTGATGACGAGCTGGATGTTTTTTGTCACCAGGGTTGTTCACTCCTTCCCTTTCCCACTCTAGAGATGCCTAGAGGACAAGGAAGCTCCCCAGGGCTCCGCAGCTGCACGTGCACCCAGCGTCTGCCTTCTCTGGGACGCCCTGGGAGAAGAGCCACCAGCCACATCCCTGACTGGCCACCCACTCAGAGCCCGTGGGAGGGAAGTTCCAGGTCATCTCACCTGGACCTCACCTCCCCTAGGTCTCTGGAGAAGCGAGGCCCCGTTGCTCGAGGGCAGATCTGAGCCAACCCAGCTGCCAAGAAGCTGGGAAGAGGGAACACTTCCTGTTGGAATGAAAGGATCGTAGCTGTGAGCTGCAATAAAATCGCTACAGATATAAGGGGGCCATAAAAGCCAGCTGCTTCCTTTCCAGGCCATCAGAACCGGATCCACCCAGGAGGAAGACCAGCCCCCCGCTCACAGTCCAAGGATCTCCGTTAAACCTGGACTCAACTCAAGACGGGCTTGGCAAGGAGGCAGATGGAGAAGCCACACTAGGTGTTTATAACGAACTGTATTATGATGATGATAAAGTGTATCTACCCGCTGTAACAAATAAAACAAAACGAAGGAGGGGCGAGTCAAAAAGGAACTTAAAATTGCCTTAATCCTGTCTCCAAGAGACAGCCGTTGTTGGTACTTTGCTCCAGTTCTCGAAGTCTTTCATCTCTACGGATGTTTGTTTCTTTACGTTGTGTCACTTGGAACCACTCACAGAATACAACTTACAACTCTGCCGAGGTAGGGAAGAAAGGAGGTGCCAAGTTCTATTTCTGCAACATCACTAAGCCCTTCCCTACTCTATAATTTTTTGGCAACCATGAGGAGGACGAGGGAGAGTGCCAGAATTATGGCTGGCATACTGTTAAATTATGGTGATGCTGAAATCCTCACCATCCTGACAAGCAGAGGCTTGGAGTGAAATTAACTTGGTTTAGAGAAATAAAGCAATGCGTTTCTTATACCCAGGGCGTGGAGTAAAATTCACAGCAGCTAGACGTGTAGATGGACAGCTGCTTGGCTAGCAGGCAAAAGAGACAGAGATAAGCCCCCCAAAATGCTCCTGCCACGTCCCTGGAAGCTGGGAGTTGATAACAGTGTATCACAAAGGGGAGTTAAGGTCACAGGTAGATTTAAGGTTGTTCATCTGCTGACCCAGCACGAGAGACCTGGATTTTCCAGGTGGGCCCACTGTGATCAGCATCCCATCGCAGAAGAGGGGAGCAGAGGAGAGGTCAAGGGACCCCCGAGGAAGGGAGGAGGATCAGAGAGATGCAAGGTTGCTGGCTTTGAAAATGGAGGAAGGAGGGGCCAGCAGGTAGCATAGTGGCATGATGGTTAACAACACTGGACTCCCACATGGTTGACTGCTGTTCGAGTCCCAGACCGGGAGGCTTGAAACTCACGCCAGGCGTGTGTGCCTATAGACCCAAACTCCCAAGAGGAGAATGGAGGAGAAGGGATTGCAGTGTGGCTGGTTCACCCGGGGGTGGGTTCTCACTTCCTCTCTCCCTGTCTCTGTCTCTCCAGCGAGCACATACACCCCATAGCAATAATCTCTCTTTTAAGAAAAAAAGATGATGGAAAGGGCCATGAGCCAAGGAATGCAGGCAGCCCCTAGGAGCTGGGAGAGACAGCCGCTGGTTCTCCCTGAAGTCTCCAGTAGGGGTGCAGCCCTGCCAGCCCCTTGATTTTAGCTAAGACCCATGTGAGACTTGTGGTCTCCAGAGCTGCAAGGTAATCAGTGTATGTTGTTTGGGCCACGCAGTTTGTGGTTGTTGGTTATAGCAGCTTAGGGAAGTGACGCGCACCTCCAAGATCTCCTCCTCAGGGAGGCCTTCCCTGATTTGGGCACCTGCTGAAGGAGGTGCTCCTGTTACTCGTGTTCACAGGAACCTCCGTAGAACTTACCAGTTTTACAATATGCCTCTGTACTTATGCTGGGAAACCGGGTCTGCAGGGCCTCTCTGAGGAGGAGACATTGTAGGTCAGGTCTGAATGAGAACAAAGCATCAGCCATGGGGAGAGCGAGAGAGGGAGGGGGCTGAGCACAGGCCAGTGCTACCTGTCCCTGTCCCTGTCCCAGAGCTGCACCTGCAGGCCCCCTGGCCTCCCCTGGGATGGACAGGCAGCCAGAACAGCAGGCCTCTGGGCCAACCCACCACACAGCCCAGCAGAGACTTCTCCCTGCCCTTCCAGCCTCCAGCTCAGGCCTCCTCTTTATCTCCGGACCACTCGCTGGACCTTACGGCCCTGGAGATTCATTCCAAGGCCACTCATGCCCTTTATAGAAGATGCTCGGGTCAGCGGACGAGGGCGAAGACCCCCACGGGCCCTGGCTGTGATGACTGGTGTACCCACGGGGCAGGAGCTCAGCCCTGGGAAAGCCAGGCGTTGCCAGGTCAGGGGCCAGGGATACTGAACCCCTCCAGATACACTTCGGGCCCGAGGGGGAGAGGAGGCCAGCGAGGAGTTGCCAGGTCAGATGCACTTCGGGCCCGAGGGGGAGAGGAGGCCAGCACTGTGTCGCTCTGTCTCTGGGTCTAGCACCAGTGTCCTCCCCTTGCTTCCCTCCCTCCCCTCTCCAGCTTTGACCTCTCATTCCACATGCCCAAACCAAATCCACACTCTCCCCCCGCCCCTTCTTCTCCCCATGTCCCTCTCTTGCCCTGAGAGTCCCCCTTTTCCATCACCAGTCTCGGTGTCTTGCAGTCACTGCAAACCCTCTTTCTTACCTGTCCCATGCCACTCGGACTCTGCCTGAGTTTCTCCCCAGGCTCACCCGCTCCCTGGCAGTCCCCCCAGCAGCCCCAGCCTAGACCAGAGCCTCAGCCCCTCTGCTAACTACCAGGCCCAGGCCCACCTGAGCCCCCAAGGCCTCGGCCAGCCTGTCAGTCTGGGATTGGGCGTGGGAGTTGCGTCGTTGCTTTTAAAGGCAGGTGGTAGTATTTCGTTTGAGCTGAGTTGCTTCGGTCTCCACCCAAAGCTCCTCTGCCAGGTGGGACAGCTCTGTGGGGGACACGCACAGCCCCTCTGCCCATGCCCGGCCAGGCTGTGCCAACGCCTCAGCCAAGCAAGACGGTCGACGTGGAAGACCTTCCTCCTTCCTGGTGAGCTCATTTAGCCGGGCAGGGAGCACTCGTGGCAGACCTCATCAAAGGAGGGCAGGGCCCAGGAGGGGCGGGAAGTCACAGGTCCACTCGTGGGGCCCTGGAACCACCTTGTCTCTCTCTGGGCCTGCTGCAACAGAGGCCCCAACCCCCGTGAGAGGCAAGAGGCTGGACTCTTGGCAGCTGGCCCAGGGTGGGGGTGGGCTGGGTCAGAGCCCCAGGACGTCAGCGGTCAGCGGGACCGTTCGCCTTCTCCGCCGAAGCAGGGACGTGGGAGCCGTGCGTCCTCAGGTGCATCACCACCGGGACAGGAAGAGCTAGCTGGCAGCCCGCTAACTGTGTGTCCCTTTGTGCAATTCCAGTCAGCCACAGCCGACCACGGTCAGAAAACAGGTGAGTGCAGCACAGCGAGGTATCTGGAGAGAGGAAACGGCCACGTTCCGGGAACTGCAGACAGTGTATCGTTAGACTTGTTCTCTTACTGTTCGTCACCGTGGTTAATCTGTCACTCGGCCTGATAGAGAAAGTAACCTTTATCGCAGGTATGTGTTTGCAGGGGGGAATCTGTCTCTGCAGGGTTGGGTGCAGCCCATGGTTTCAGGCATCTTTTGGGCGTCTTGGAACTTACCCCCTGCAGACAGGGCGTTTATTGTACCTTTGGGGCCACATCATTGAGAGAGGAAAATGGATATGGGAAGGTGGGAAATAGCAGCGAAAACTCGGGAGAAAAGAACGAAAGGAAAGGGGAAACCACATACTCCAAGAGATGTCTGAGGTCAAACTGAGGAAAGCAAATACATTTCATCTGAGGGGCCAAGCCTGACCAGCTGATAGTGAACTCTGATAATGATTCCGAGGGGCCGGCAGGTGATGTGGTGGTTAGAGGTGCTAGCCGACCATAGTTTGAGTCCCAGACCTGGCGGCTTGCTTTCCCACTATCCCTCTCTTTCGCGCTCTCTCTCACTCTCGGTCTGTCCCTCTCTGGTTCGCGCCCTCTCTCACTCTCGGTCTGTCCCTCTCTGGTCAAATTAAAATTAAAAATCATAATAATAAGCAAATAAAGTTCAATAAAATAATTTTTTGAGAGGTTTATTTGCTATAGGGCATGTACGCTCGCCAGACAGAGACAGAAAGCGAGAAGTCACCCCCCAGGGGGGATGGCCACACCACAATCCGTTCTCCTCCATTCGCCTCTCGGGATCTTGGGCATGCACACACATGCGCCCGGCGTGAGTTTTAAGCGACCGGGTCCGGGACACGAACCGCAGTTGACTACATGGGAGTCCAGCGACATAGCCATTACACTAACTGCTGGTTCCCAATAAAATAATTCTTAAAAAAAAAAAAAAAAAGGCATGATTCTGAGAGTGGGTCCAGGCTCGATGTAAAGGCATGCGAGGATTGGTTGGTTATGTCGGCCTTGGGCACCTGAAGATGCAGGGAACACAAGCAGGGACTTGCTAGCCCACAGCGCAGGCTGTCCCCCCTAACTGCAAGAGCACCTGACATGTCCTTGTTCACTCACGCCCCTGTTCATTCAAAAGAGCACATTCTGCGCATCAACTGTGAGCCCCACAGAAACCGGAGGAATGAGTAAAGAAGGAAGGAGTGCTATTCTTTGGCCTCAACTCACATTTTTCTCTGAAAAAAATAATGAGTTGACAGTTTATGACACAGTGTGTGGTCTCGAGAGATTATCTAGCTGTGTGGTGTCAGCCTTGTCCCTTCCTTTTGCTAAGACCCAACTTTCTCATCTGTATGATGGGAGAGAGTCTGAGTACCCCACCCCCCTCATCATTAAAGCCTGTAATACACCACTGATGACGCGCGACTGCTCTCCACACGGTAATCCACTGAACCCTCGTCTCACCCCCATGGGGAAAGCAGCGTTGTCATTCTCATTTTGCAGATAGAACTGAGGCACTAGAGACGTCAGAGCCTCCCTGGGCAGTCCGACCACAAAGCATGTGCTTTCGGTCAGGAGCTACACTGACTCGAAGGCCATCCCTGGGAATAAGCGGCCTGGGGACATAAGTGTCCTTCCAGATGATTCCCCCAGTGAGCATTCATTGAGCATCTCCTGCGCGTCAAGTGAACACAGTATAATGAGTAACCAGGCAGGGTGACAGGGATACGTGGTTCTAGCCAGAAAATCAACTTGCGCAGAGTCACTTTCAAAACAGTTTGGCCGTGCGCCTGAGAGCCCGGACAGACTTCTCCAGGAGGTGAAATGTTCTAGGGATGACCGAGGCCTCAGTGGGTGTGGGGCTAGGACAGGGAGCTCTATGGCCCAGTGGAGAGTCTAAGAGAAGGGAGAGTGGGAGGAGGGCCGAGGGGGGGTGGTTCAGGCGAGAGGAGCAGGGAGTGAGTGGTAGGGGGTAGGATGTTGGCTGGCCCTTTGTTGGCCCGCATTTGTCTGTCTGTCTTCTCTGCTCTGGAGCTTGGGTGTTCCTGTCTATAGTCATTTACATGCCTCAACTCTGTGTTTACACTCAGGCCCAGTTGCTTACCCAGCTACTCTGTGTCAATAGGAATCTTGGACCTTATAGAGCTAAAGGTTCTGACTTCCTCATTGGCCCTGCCTGGGACAGGGATGCAGGAAGTCACGATTTGCTGACATGTCTTTGAGCTGGGGCCTCTGCTCCTGCTCAGAGGAGACCAACCCGTGTCATGTCAGCAGGCCTGCAGGAAACAGCCTGCAGGAGGCGCCAGTGGCCCTGGCCCAGCTGGAGCACACGGGACACATCCCCCGGGGAGAGGGCAGGGGGCTTCCTGTGGTCACTACCAACCCCTTGCTTTTGGAGTCTCTAGAAAGCAGGGCTAGAAACTCCAAGGTTTGCTCCCCAAGGGCGTGGCCTGGGGCGACAAAAATGTCAAAAATGTCAACACCTTTTCCCAGCTCAGCTTTGCCCTTCTCCTGCTGTGTTAAGATGAACAAGCTGACTGAACCTCCCCTATCCCAGAATCTAAGGGGCGTTAATACTGGGCTTTCTGAAAAGTCACGATGCATTTTTGCCTAGAAAAATACAGAAAATGCCTCATGACTTTTCCAACAACCTTGGACGTTCCTTGACAGTTTGCTGTGAGTTTTGAAAAGATAATGTGGATAAGGCGTCGACAGTGATGTGACCCAGCAGAGGCCGAGCTGAGCACCTACTGTGTGCCAGGCACTGGCGTGGTACTGGGCATTTGGAAATGACTAGACGCTCAGGAAGCTCGCAGTCCCTCAGAGAAGCTGGTCACATCGATGACCACGGAAAGTGAGTCGGGGGTGCTGTCAGAGGGACGTTGCACTTTCCGTGTGGGGACAGCCACCACAGTAGGTGTGTGTGGAGGGCTGACTCTGTCTAGGGTGTCCTCGAGTAGGAACACCTCTACGCGGCTTATCCTGTTGAAATGCGGCAATTTTGCATGGAGGGCCTTGCTATCCGCATTTACAGATGTGCTACTAAGGCCTGATGAGGCCCGGGAACCGGCCCGAGGCGGGGGGGACTATAAACGGTAGGGAGGGGCTTTGCGACCAGGTCTGCGCCAAAGAGACCTCAGGGAGAAGGCCGCATTGCACAAAGTATAGGCTTCTCCTGGGGAGAAGAGGGGAGGACAGCCCCAGTGGGGGAAACCGCATGAGCAGGGGCAGGGAGGGGGGAGCTGGGAGTCAACCAGGAGGAGGGCAAGGGGAAGCAGGACCCAGCACAACGCCATGGACGCAGCTCTCCCTCTGTGGTGAAGGAATATTCTTCTGGTGGGAGTGTCGGGAGCACTGTGTTTGCCAGTAGGAAAGCCTTCAGGACGGAAGCTGTTGATAAAGACCCAAAGGAAAAAATAAAAAAACAGAGTAGGCCTCCTTTTTGGGGGGCCCTGCAAGGGCCGAGGTGTTCACAGCTCAGGACGAAAGGAGTAGAGCAGGAATTTAATATAAGGAGTCTTCTCACAGATGTAACCGTGGTTTGAAATGGGAGAATCCGCGGCCTGCAGGTGGCACAGTGGTTTAGGTGCTGGACTCCCATATGGATGACTGTGATTCAAATCCCAAACCCAGTGGCTTGAAACACGCCAGGCACGTGCGCGCCCAAAATCCTGAGAGGAGAATGGAGAAGGGGTTGCGGTGTGGCCATCCCCCCTTGGGCGGTGATTTCTCACTTTCCCTCTCTCCGTATCTGTCTGTCTGTGCCTCTCTGGCAAGTGCACATGTCCTATGGCAAAAACCTAAAGAAAAAAAAAAAAGGAAAATCCTCATGTGTCAGGTAGGAGTCTTTGGGGTGCACGTGACAGAAGCCAAGTCAAACCAGCCCAAGAGAAAAAGGGCCTGCATGGACACAGAACGGGAAAGCCCGAGCTAACGCTGACTCCCAGCCAGGCTGCGTCTGGGGCTCTGTCTGCGTCTCTGGGAGCGCTCTCTCCATGTCACTTTATTCTCAGCCAGGCTGTCATCGCCTGGAAACCCTCCAGCAGCAGCAGAAAGGCAGCTCCTCTTTCCTGGTCCTGCCAGGGCACCTGTCTCCTTGGCTTGGGTCACCTGCCCGTGTCATAGCCCAGGTTCTCACAGAGCACACTTACCAGCCACGTGACCACCCCTAGAGCCAGAAAATGGAGTCCTCGCTCCCCAGCTGCCGGGAAGGGGGCACCTGACTCCCAGAGGGAAATCAGGTGGTCGCGAAGGAAAGGAGAGTGGGTGCTGGACTGGTCTCCACACCCTCGCTCTCCGTCCCGCTCATGAAACCACAGTTCATCAGCTAACGGGTCGCGCTGTTGCCCGTCGTCCTACCCTGGGCAGGTCACTGTCTCTCTAAGCTTCCGTTTCCTCACTCGTTAAAAAAAAAATTTAGCACAAAGAATCCGCCTGACAGGGTTGTTGGGAATATTAGACAAAAGAACGGAGGGTTCAACGTTGGAAAATAACAAGAATCACTGTTGCGGCCTTTATTCTGATCATTTCTCCTTCAGGGAGCTCTCTGAGTCCCATGCCTTCCTAGGGGACACTGACCTCCTGACGTCCTCCTGAGACCACGCTGACTTTGTGGTGGAGGCATCTGCCTAGGGTAATCAAAGGGGCCGGATTCCAGCTGCTTCCCACAAAAAAGAATCGAATCCCCCACTGGGTTGGAGGGGTTTCTTCACGCTTGACCTGCCCAAGTGATTCAGATGGGTAAACCACAGGCCTGCTGTGGCCAGGGATAAGCCCAGATGCTCCAGGCCCCGCCCAGGTCCACTTTGTCCTCACTGACCACATATGGCCAGGCTCTCAGCAGAGAAATTCTGGTGGCACGGAGCGTCCCCTGAGCTGATGGGCCTGGAGAAGTGCGGCCCTTTGATACCGCCCGTCCCCTCGGGTGCTGGAGGGTAGGGAACAGGCTGTGCATCTGGCCAGATGGCTTTATCAGGACCTGGCAGAA